GGAATCCCGTTCGCTCCAATGCACCATTTTACCTCAATTTGATGTTTTAATGTTATAAAAAAGATTTTTATGAGATTTTATATTTAGATAATTATATTACAGCATTTTATAAATGGTACAATTAGTTTAAACGCATATTAATTAATTAAGGCATAGTTATTACGCGAAAGGTGCAGAAATAAAAAAATAAAAAATAAATCTGAAGCTATATTTTAAATACTTTAAATTAACTTACTTTTTCAGCCACCAAAGTAAAAATTATTTTAAAATAAATTGTTGATTTATTCATGATATTAAATCTCAACTTGTAATGTAAATTATCACCGAATACTCTGTATTCTGTCATAATGCTTACCTACTTATTTTATCTTTCAAATGGCTGTATTATAATAAATTAACATTTTATTTGTAGTTAACCATGCCGTTAACGCGACCCTATTATGAGATGGCATAACTCATAACAACTTGTACCCAGCGTGTTTACTTTTCTTTTACAAAAACTATCTTGAGTTTTACAATCTAAAATCTAAGTATTCAGTGCAATTGAACAACATTTGTTCTCTATATAACATTTTGGAATTTATAAAGTTTAAACATCTGAGTTACAAATCGTCTACGCGTAGCACATTTGTAGAGTGAAAATTCTAGAAATATAACTTAACCATGTTTAGTTGCGTAAGATGTTGGGCACCTGACAACTGACGTCTGACCTTGGCGCTCCGTGTCCCGTGGCCTTGGACCGCGAAGGGTCTCACAGACCCACAATAGCTGGCCGTTAAAACTCGTCTGATGAATACCGCGGAAACCCTCCCCTTGTGCGAAATCCGGCTAACGATTTTCTCTATTTGTCCTTTATGCTCTATTTTAACTACGTATTGATATGTGGGGTTCATTCGAATACCGTTACTGTCAAGTTAGATCGTTTAAATGTCCATAAATTTTTATAATTTTATGACTTCTCTTCGCAAAATCCCTTGTTTAATTTTAACCATTGACAAAGCAAGTCCGCAGCTCTATTTGCAAAAATAACTTTTACGATTTGTCTATTATTCTTTTTGCGATTTGTAGGGTCTATTTTGTATTAGTAATTCATAGGGTTTGTACTTTATACCATTGTACTTATATAAGTTTATTACTTTAACGTGTCCGGTATCCTAAAGTTTAACAAGAAATATTTTTTTTGTTTGTTAAAATCATTATTTAAAATGGATAAATAGAGGACAAATTAAATACAGTTTATAAAGTAAAATTTGATAATATTATATAAAAGTGAACCCTTAAGTAGGTACCTACTTACGGTTAAATTAATTTTGTCTTTATTTTATAGCAACGTGTTCCCCGCACGAGTAATTTATATTTATGCAGTAGCTACTAGCTGTATTAATAGGTATGTACATTGTACATATTACAACAAAATGTTAGGTATATAGATACATACTACCCCTTTCTTTACGCCGCTATAACCTGCGTTTATTTTATGGAACCTAGGTATATACGATTCAGTCCATAACAAAATTACTAGATTCTGCCGTGCGCTTAAAAAAAACAGATAATTTAAGTTACTTATCAGTTTGTTAGAATTTCTGAGAAGAACCGTTCATTATACACTTTTAGCTTCTATTTTGTTTAAATGGATTACGTCATTTATCATAACTGTTTTACTTAAACCCTTACGAGAAACAAGCTTGGCACTTGTATACCTACTTATTAATGAAATGAATGTAGTAAACGCTCCATTTCTGTAATAATCGACCCTATGAAAAACTACATTGATTGCTTTGAAATAACACAGAGGGAGCTAACGTGTTTATCAACTTATATACAGTTATGATAGTAATCGTGTTCAATCTGTAATTACTCATCTGATATAGACCTTTTTATTTACTTCAAAGTACAACTACCGCAATAGAGCTTTTTCTCCGCAATGATAACATGATAAATGAATAAAATAAAAGTTTTCAGGTATAACAGAAACATTTTTTCCAACAAAAGTGAAACATAGGGTCCAGGCTATTGTTCAATTGAGGGCTTATGAAACTTAATAGCTCAGTCTAGTACAAAGCATATTTTCTATTCAAATTGTAGTTTTGTTGTTCCTAGGCAAGCTGGGGATTAGGGTTCATAATTGACATTTGAAATGTAAGTAGAAAAATATTTTTAATGGTGTACAAAATAAATGCAAGTCGTCTAGATCGATTTTATTATGATTTCATACCTTATGGAGATTGATAATTGGTATATGGGTTTACTTTTCAAGCAGGCGTGTCCCATTTCACGCTGCTGTCGAACTAAAGTACAGATACCGGCAAAGTTCTTGAGCATTAAACAAGGGAGTGGGGGAAAGTTTGAGCATCGTACACATACAAGCAAAAAAAGTGTCAATTTTATTTAACTGTAGAATACTTTTAAAAATAGTAAGTTTTAATTTTTGTAGATTGTTAGTGTTTATCAGATATTATTGTGAGTTGTAAAATATAATTTTTACTACCTTCTAAACGTCCCACTGCTGGGCACAGGCCTCCTCTCAGAACAAGAGGGCTTGGGCTGTAGTTCCTACGTGGGCCCGGTGTGGATTGGGAACTTCACACGCAATATTGAATTGCTTCGCAGGTTGTTACAGGTTTCCTCATGATGTTTTCCTTCACCGCAAAGCTCGTGATAAATTTCAAATGTTATTAATAATGATTGTAGAAAAAATATTTAAATAATTTAATCATCATCTAATAAAGATATTTTTCCATTAGGTCGTTAGCAGAGCTAGTGCTTGGTCTAGGTTCAGGGTAGGGATGTGAAAAAAATAATCGATTATTAAAAGTAAAAATCGATTTTTTTAACGTGATTTTTATAATTGAAAATCAATCATATTCGATTTTTCATCTGCCACCTCCCGCCATTATGTCTGGTCTTTTATAACCCGGACCTCGAACTATTAGGGATATTCAATATACAACGATGTTTACAATGCGATACATTGAATCCGATTCTTTGAAGATGTATTGATATACTCGATGCATTGATGTTTTTTTGTAAAACATCGAAAGGATGATAAAACCAGTTAATTTTACAAAAACTCAAGTTTGAATGGAGCACTATAATTTAAAAGTAAAATAAATTTATTCAGCAGCACAAGACTACATACACAATTAAAAAGACAACAAAAATACTGCAATGTGCTACTGAAAAGGTATACACTCAGCATTTATCAAATTTCACCTAAAATCTATCACAACGAGAATAAGTTAATTTCGATTTTGATTATTCTTAAACGTTAATTTGTGTTTATAATTTCTATTGTTTATTTTAATAAAAAAACCATGTTAAATAAAATATTTAGGGTGTTTATTTTGAAATTAATTCAAAAATTAGGAAAAAATCGATTAATAAAAAAAATCGATTATTTATTCATCGATTTTTCATGCTAAAAAAATAATCGATTAATAAATAATCGATTTTTTATGCAGAATGTCTGGGAGATGGAGTTATCATGATGCTCATCATCATCCTCGGACTCATTATCATCGTCAGCATAAATAACGAATTGGTCGGTAACTAAATCAACCACATGATCACTTTTCATGTATTCTCTTTCAATTTCTTTTCACTTTTTGGCATAATTTTACTGTACGCCAGTGTACTTAGGAGGCAAAGGAACATGGACGCAGCGCGGGACACAAACGTCAACAGATTTACACGTCACTCTCTCGCCACCGCCCCCCCACTCCCATTGTTACCTAAAAATTCAAGATGTTTTCCGGTATCTGTACATATTGTAATCGATTTTCACAATACAAAGTTGATGACATAGGCTAAGTTCAGATGACCGCGCGTCGCCACGCGGTTGGAGCATTCACATGACGGTATATGTACGCGCGCCAGCCGCCAGTGTGGCTTCAACATTGATTGACAATGGACGTGGAGGAGGCAATTTGCTTATGGATTTTATATAGAAGACTGAGACGTCGCAGAAGACAAAGACGATACTGGGTGCATCCAATTTTAAGTGAGACTTTCTTCCAGCCTGTTTGTCACTTTGTATCCCAACTTGAGGTTACACGAAGATACATTTTTTAACTATTTCCGGATGTCAGTTGCATCCTTTAACTTTTTAAACGATTCTATTGAAAATGATTTAAAATCCAGTGAAGATGCTATAAGATATTGCATATCACCAAAAGAAAAACTCATTGTAACATTAACAAATCGATAGGCACAATTTCATCTTCGGTACTCATTTTGCATCGATCTGTGTCTTTCCGTCTCAAGCCGCGCGGATAAACTTAACAAGTCGATACAGGTTTGCAAAACTTGTGCCGCGCGCGGCCGCGTGGAACCGCGCGGTAATGTAGACGCGATAATAATTACCGTTTATATTGATCTTGTACCGCGCGGCCATATGAACTAAGCCTTAAGTAGCTGTAAGCTACAGTAAATTAACACTTGTTAAATATGAAAATTCGCCGCCTTAGGTGGCGTGGGTAACCACTTGCAAATTTTTTGCAATATTAAATTGATCAGTTAATATTAATTAAAAACTTGAGTTCAACTAAGTCAACACTTCTGAATCATAATTTCGCGGCCAATGTATAAAAAAGGTAAATAAAAAACCAATTTGATGTGTCGCCACATTTATTTGAATTTTACTAAGAAAATTGAATAAAAAATATTGTATTTCACCAACATTACTTTAGAAATGAATAATATACAGTGGTAGAAAATCCGTTTGCTGCACCCGGAATTATTATTATGACGGGGTGAGCGTCGGTAGCGCCGCCTCGTGGTTGAACGAGACAATTAAAAAAAATGACTACATTCATACATGAATAACAGAATATACATATTTATTATTTTGTTCAATCATACTACGGGCAACACAGGTTTAAATTTTCTTTCACAATACTGATACGGGTCAAGTTTTCTAACTGTCTCTGGGTTGGGTGGATTATTGGCTTGGCTATGGGTTTTTGAAAGGCGGCCGCTGTCAGTCTCACGCTGCTCTTAAATTAATCTTCGTCCTCACCACTCTCAGACTCTGTAAAATAATATTTTATGAAAAATATATTTAACACCATACTGTTGTTGCTAGATTGTTGGAGTTAATAGAGAGGTTTGATTTTATTACATTTTACTGTTTGATATTTGTTTGTAAACAAAATTTTAATTTTTTACTATTTGACAACTGGGGGAAAGACTTGCGGACATAAAATATTTATCAAATTGTTTCTAAAAGTAAGTATAATTCTCTAGTAACTCACCCTCCTCAGCGCTCTGTAGCCACTCGACAAACTTCTTCATCTGATCGAGGAACATATGCTTGCCCTTGGAAGAGTTGGGGTCGCGGTACCAGCGCAGGATCACTTCCTCGGAAACCACTTCACTCTTGTACATCATCACAACCAGCTTACTGAACGCGCGCATGAAGTTCATGTTCTCGTAGCAATACTCTTGGACCTGTACAAATTTAATATGTAGTCATAATTATAAATTTTAAGCAATTTTATTACATGGAATCCGACTAAACGGGACAACCATTCATTGACAACTGAGTAGTTGTCACGTGTCCTGAGATGCACTGAAGTATTAACTAATTATAGTTTGGGAATTTGTTAAGAAATATTGTTGCGCTTCAATATCAGTCTCGGCTTTAAACCGAACCTGGTAAATATATCCCACGCGATACTATTGCACACTTTCCACACCGACGCGACTATGTTCTAATCGTGACTGTTCTACTTATGTGCATAAAAAATGTAACAAAATATATATTTTCTGTGACTTGTTACGCCGACTAATTTAACTTGACAATTCATAAGTGTACTTGTTTACCTAAATGAATAAAGATATTTTAAGTTTAAGTTTGCCTATTTTAAAGGTAAAAAATAAAATCCGTAACTGATAGGATAACAACAAAGAGCGAATTATTTTTGGTAAACTAAATAAATAACCTTGGTCAGCAAAGCAATTTCAGCCTTAGCAGAGTGAGCAAACGCAGCTAGAAGCGGCGTATATTGGCGCAAATGTTTCGCAGCTTGTTCGGCTAAAAGTTCCTCTTTCTTATTCCACTCACCACGAGCCATCACGCACTGCCAAATCTAAAATTTTGTTACCGTTAGTAGCTTATAACAACAAAAAAATATATTAATTTATATGGGATAATGATCAGATTGCCATGTCAACATAGCATGACAGCTACTGTGTAGAAGCTTAGCGACTCCCGAAAGACTCAGTTGCCACCAGCCCCAAACACTAAAAACTGCCACACTCTGACTCGTCATCAAGTTTCATCATATTAGAGGGTTTTAAATTATTTATTTTGATGTTAAAAATTTGTAATAAAAAAATCCATGAATTAATACAATACAATCATGATATACGTAATATACGAAATACTTACAATCGCGACCACCTCATGGTCTGGTATGTCATTCTTCTGCGCCATGTCTCTCAGATCTGGTATGATGTCTCTCACTGGTTTCTCATCATTTAGCTCCTCATCAAGAACACGAGTTAGTTCCCGACGAGCTTCCTGCGAAGCTTGGGCCCGGTGCAAGCGGACAACTTCGCCTAGACCCCGCGCACCAAACATCGTGGCTAGAGATTCCTCGCTGCGACGATTTAGGGGCAAGAATTCCAGAAGTCTGATGGAAAAGTAATTTTGATATAAATTCTAGCAGTATGTAGTAATCCAAGGCAAATTGTACAACATTAAATCATATAGGAAGGGCAAAATATGATTTGTAGCCACATTTATGACGACATCACAATAATTGCGATGAGCCAGTACATGCATCATTTATCTTTCCCAAATCTTACACATGATCACATTATAGAAAATCACATAACATAAGATTGGGAATCAACCTTTTAAATTGACAATATAACAGAACTCCAAATTTATTGTCTAAAATGGTTACAAAAATTCAATCATACCATATTAATATATTATATTATATAATATATTGAATTATATATATATTTTATATATATTATATATTAAATAATAATATATATAATTCAAATATACCTTTTAAAAAAAATGGTGGGTACATAAAATTATTTAGTATTGAAAACAACTCGTGAACCTATCCTCACTCACCTGCCTTCAAGTTGTCCCCTCTTCAACGCAGTAACTAACGAAGTAACTCCGCGTTCGTTCTTCATTGTTACGAATACTTCGAGCACGAATTCCAAAGCTACGTTTTCCTTCAGAAGGTGCTCATTCACCAGCACTAGAAGTACTGATGGTGGGACGCATCCGTTGCCTGAAATAAGACATTTTTGTAATATGGTCTATGTATATGTATTTGATATTAAATTAAAATCTGTTACGAAAGTAAAAACAGTATATAACATCGATAATAAATCTTCTAACTTGCAAAACAAGCTTAGAAATTTGTAATACAAAATGGCCGTCGCCACTAAACAAGATGGCGGATATCAGCATCTGAATTTACGATTTCAACAACAACGCAATGATAATATAATCTTAATGTTCAAAAAATTATGTGTAACACCGCAAGTGTATCGATCGATCCCCGCAAACAGGGACCGAGGATAATCGGCGTAATAATATAGCACATTTCGACACCCACCAGGCTAGGTAACGCCGGGCCGGCTCTAATTGTGTGCCAAATTAATTTTTTATATATTTTATAAGACACAAATTTTCATAACATACTATATTGGCAAACTGGGCTAATTTAGTTGGTATATTAGAGTATGGATTTAACAGTGAACAGGTGAGTCAAGTACTATTTAGTGCTCTTTAATAATTTGACTACTGAAAAAGCAAAAATTAAAGACCTTAAATATAATTGTTACTTACATATCCACAACGCCGTCATCCTTGCCAGTTTGATGCGCTGCAGAGGTTCGAACCCTTTAATGTACACCAGCACCTGAAGAAACAACCTTAATTTTATTATTTAAAAAAAAACCTTTTTTGTATTTGTATAAAAATGACTAACTAAATTTCTTACTATTAATAGGTCTTACAAAACATAACTATAAAAAACTAATTAATTTTTGTTGATGGATGATATAATAAACAAATGTTGTATTACCTTTTTCATTTCCTCTTCAAACATTTTTTCCAGATACTTATAGCGTCGCATTAGTTTCACGAATACCTGAAGAATACACATCTGATGAGAACAATTTTCGAAAAGATAATGAATTTTAGGGATATTTCTTTATAATCAGCAATAAAACGAACGAGTAAGGATTCTCATCAGAATTCAGATCTCTAGCCAGTTGTTTCATCATTTTAAGAAAACGTGTGCTTTATTTTACATTTTGGAAATAGTTGAATAATATTGACGCATAAGTTTAAGGCGTAATTATTAGATTTGATAATCACTTGATAAATCTTAACTTTGGTCACTATTGAGTGGGGCTAAATGGTCCCCAGCAGCAGACATTTGTACACTTATGAAAAATTACCTGTTCAAAGTTGTGCATTGACTCCATTTCCTCACTAGCGTTGAAGATGCAAGTGTTTGTCTTCGGTGTCTCTCCATCCATCGACACCGAACCACCGGGGACTATAGAAACATAGTTTTTAGTAATAATGAAGAATTTTTATGTAACTGTAAAATTATAGAAAAACAATTTGGCTTTGTAAACGAAAACTTAACAATATGTAAGGCGAAAGTAGCAGGCAACTATGAAATCAAGGAACCAGTTATTGTTATACCATTACTAACGAACAGTATTTATATAATTAGTATTTTATTTTCTGGTACTTACGCAATAGCCCCCCGGCAATAAGAACATCGAAAATGACCTCGCCATATCGGCGATAGTCAAGCTTGGAGCCAGCCGCGTCTAAGAACTTATAGGCCGCCTCCAGATCGCCGCCCGCGCGCTCCAGTCCTTGGACCAGAGCGTCGCGGAACCCGTTAGGGTCATACTTCTCTTTCTCATCTGAAACAAACAAGTATAGTTGTAAATATATTTTTAATTTAAATATGTTCTATGAACTCGCACTTTGCAGGTTTCCTAACACGCTATTTAATATTTGATACTTCATGGTTAGGATATTATCTTTATCAGTAAAATGAATTGGTAATTAACCAAGTTATAATAAACAAAGGTAGGTAGCAGTTGTGTAAAAATTCCACACCAGTAAGGTTTTTAGAAACAGACAACTTAATAAATGGTGCTCTTTATATTTACGCGTCAGGAAGAGATTACGCAGACTGACATTTCAGAAGTTAATTTACTATATCATTGTCATAAATCTCTTGTGTATCATAATCGTATCGTATTTTTAGTCCATCAACAAAAAACAGAACATGACGTAAATGAATGAGGAAGAAAATATTTTCAGATTGTTTTGTTTGTACTAAATCAGTTGATAAATTGCGTCATACTTAATATTTTGTTTATACTTATTATATGAAGTCTGAAGAAACTTTGACCTAATTATGTAATTTGAAACAAGTCTGGTTTCACACCAATGTTTTTAACCGCCCGCAACTGAATTTCAAATCATTAAACAGAAAAACTGTTATTGTTAAATATTACCTTGAATTGAATAATACATTATTTAGTGATTAGTATTGAGGAGCTACTTTAGTCCTTGTAAAAATTAAAAAAGAAGTAATGAAATAATTGGAAATTAGAGAAATTTTTGATTACAGAAAAAAAATCTGCAAATGTGTATTTATGTGTGTGCATAAGTATTTATATTGTTGAATTTTAATTACGAAAATCGAAAGAGTGAAAAAATATAGTATAATATATCGGTTGGCAATTGAAAATCATCCATTAATTAACCGTGTTGATATGTGTATGACGACTTGAGCAAGGTTACATGATTCATAAATAAGCACTTGGCTAAGGAAAACTACTTGGAAGCCATAGAAGTATATATTTATATAATTAGTCAACTTAATATTAAACTGTTGCTATGAAGACCCAAACTGTTTTGCTACAACAGCAAAATTATTTGTGATTCATTTGTTAATATTAATTAGTAGAAAATCATTACACAGACTAGCCATGCTTATATTAAAAAAATATCATACTATGTTCAAGAAGGATTCCTTAGGCAATGTTATTATTGGTATAAAAAATTGTTTAAAATGTGTAATTGCAAAAAAAATTGGAATAATATTTTTTTGTCAGTATAACAATATGTATATGGAAGTGTGAAGGTTACAAACAATTAAGTTACTAGATCATTAACTTAATTCACACTGAGAGACATTTTAGCTAGATTCCCTCATCATTGTAGCTAACATTGATAAAGTTATAAAGCTTTTATGTTAAAGAAGGTTTTCTATACTCAATAAATTGTTTTGGCTTAAAGGGTAACCAAAGCCAACTTACATACAAATAACATTCCGAATTTCAAGTTCGAGTTTGCCCATATTACCTTTTTTAGCTGTAGTATACAGATAACACATTTAGTTTAGCAAATAGTTTTAAGTATAAAAGAAATGTTTATTGATATGCGTACCAAATCTATTTAATAGAAATAGCTTGGTATAGCTTTTATCAATAGTTTAATCTCCACAGTCAAGAGAAGCCAGTTTGGACACATCTATTCCATTCTGGGGCAAAGCTGTGGCTACATTGTGCTTGGAAAAACAAACTAAAGCAAATTAAATACCAGAGGCTTACATCAAATTTGCCATTTAATACATAATATATATAAGTAATAACTGTTTTACGGATTAAAAAATAAGCTAAAATTTATTTTCAATCACAAATTAATATTTAAAAAAGTAGTCTTTCCCACCCTAACAAGTTTTATCACATTGAACATAAAGTAAATCTGCATTGTATATTAACTACAAAGAAATGAGCATGGTACTATCTAGCTACTCTTTAATCATGACATCAGTTTTTAACATGTTATTAATTAAATATCAAACAAGCTCATGAAGCTACTGTTATTTTGGGCATTATCGTTTAACAGTACTTCCACAAGAGAATTATAAATGTTCACATGACCCACTTCATGTGATTCATTAATATTGTAACTGTGTGCCAAGGTGAAGGCTTTGCAGAAAAAACGACTACTTTAAGCAGTCCTTTTTTACTTCCATAAGACAACTCGAGGCGATAGATAAGTAATCTTAAATAATTAGGAGCATGGGACTTATAAAAGCTATAATAAATGCTTACCTCTTTTTCTGGTCTTGATCCGTTGACCCGATAATACTGGTTTTTCTACCTTTTGACTCATACAATATATTGCTGAAACAAAATACACGTGGCATTTACTTGAGGAAAGAGGGGGCCCTAGGATTTTAACGAAAGGTCATCGCCCCGAAAGACCACATGTTGAAGAATTAAAACATAATTTTATTTTAATCAAATTAAATAATTTCAATTAATCATAATTGAAATTATTTATCAAAACGAGGCGACGCCTACTTACCACAAGGGCAAGACACAATAAATCACTAAAATCTCTAATCTTTTGTGAATCCAAATCACAACCTCCGCAAATGACTCAGCAAGGATATCGAGAAATTACTAAAGATTATAAATTAGGATTTGTAAATACAATGTAAAACTAATCGATTATGCACTTATACTTACGTAGTTACAGGTTATGTAGGAGCCTTTTACTCCTTTTGCGAGTTCACTTCGACTGCGCCTGTTCGGAAAAGAAAGAAACGCTTGAAGATCTTTGGGTCGGAGAGCTAGAGACAACGTGTATGGAGTCGCCGGATATCCGGTTTTAAAACACCGACATATCGATTTTCTGAGTAAACAAAATTTGTTCTCTTACAAACTGCTATTTTAATCGCCTATTTGCCTTTAACACAAGAATAACAAAAAATCAGCCCTCAGATTTATGTGTGTTGAAAAATATGAGATATGGAAGAAAATTATGATTGTCGTATGAAATATAAAAATCACATATAAACGAAAAAAATTCAAAAATCTACAATTAAAATTTTAATTATATATTTTAAAAAGACGACACGATAATTTAATCAATTTTGTAATACTTATTTAAAAATCACAATTTGAAAGGAGAACATATGATTACAAAAATATTATTAATAGACAACATCAATTTTTTCATCATGCGCCTCTTACGGGTGTAGTCTGTGGAAGTGTGAATAGCAAATAAAGAGCTAGGAGCAGTACTTTATACTAACAGCACTTAGTAAGAAAACGGACAGTTCGAACTAGAAATACAATAACTTGGAGCATAGGAATCACGCTAAAATAGCTAACGAAATAATATGCTGATTCTTTATTTTTTATTTTCTACCATTTAATGCGTAAAAATCTGATAAAAAAATGGTTGTCATTGATTATTTTACGTAGGTTGACAGTAGCCAGTCGATATCGTCCTCTTTCGACGAATTTCATCGATAATAATAAAATATCGGCTATTCGGCATTTTTTAATACAAGAATTAATACAAGAAAAATTAAATATATAAATATTTATTATTATTGTCTTACATAAAGTGTAACATAAATTATATTTTAAATTATGTCCAATGCCGTAGCAGCTTCCGTGGGCAACTTAATTCTGTTAATTTTGTGTCACGGTGCGCGAGCACCGTAAAATTTCACTCTCATAAATTTTTCATAACGCGCCTAAAGAAGTATAACTTCAAAAATCGATTTTTTATGAAGAATGTCACATCCCTAGTTTAGATTTAATCGATTTTAGAATTCTCTGGTCTAAAATTTTCGTAGCCTGTGACTTTTTTTTTTCCCTTTATGGCTCTGGCACTTGCCTTAGAAATTCGATCGTGTCCTCCATGTACGGTTTAAGCACTCGTCCGGTACCGCACAACCCTCCCAAAGGCCGATAACAAATTTAAATTAAATTAAAACTTGCCCTCGAACCGGGAATCGAACCCGATACCCCTCACCTAGCTGCCACACCTAAGACGTTATATTATGTTAGTACAACGTATACGTATAGCCTACTCTGGTACCATACCATACCATAGAGTATTAACTACTCGGTCTGTGAATCTGTGTAGTGTGTACTAAATGTTAAATAATATGGTGCTTAAATAATGTATTAGCGATTTATAGTTGAAGCTGTTGAACACTATATCAACTAAAAATACTAAGCCGAGGAAAATATTCTTACATTATACCACAAATTGAACAACTTAGCCTTAAATCTATAACGTGGGTTCCGACTTCCGAGTTCTGATTCAAAATGGCAAATTGCATATTGGCAAAGGTAAATATACTAAGAAGATTAAGATTCGGAGTCAAGACTCTTACTTACCCTAAACCTACTAAAAAATATATATATTTAAATCTCATTGTGTGTTAGACTATTTCATATATGTACGTCTAATCATATATGTTTCAGATAGGGCAACTACGATTTCTTCCAGCAACAAATCTTTTACAACCATACCGTACGACCACATCAAAACATTATAACCCCAAGTTTAAGAAGCTTCGTAAAGAAAAATTTCTTAAAATAAATCTTCACGACTATAACGAGGATATTGACAACCTTCCTGAAGAAAAAGTCAGGCAGAAGATGAAAGAGCGTGGCTTGCTTCCTACTAGACCTTGGAATGACAGACCTTTTTACGTTTCAGCGACAGGTATCGCATGATTGCAATTAATCAGTCAATATGAGCAAGACATGACATGACATTAAATTGATCTTAGATGCTTGTTCTACATAAGTATATCACTTTTTAGGTGGTGTTTTTGAGGCATACATCCCACCAGAGGGTGATGGAAAAGCCTCCATAGTATCAACTACACGAGCAAAACAAACTGTAGAGCTGCTTGAAAAAAAATCTAAATCAATGATGGCAATACGTAAAGTTAAATCTTTTGATGAAGATTTTGATACCAAAGAATTTTGCCGGATAGCCCAAGATATTTATGTTAAGGCACATGAAAGTCTCGTTAATAATGATAGGCATGCCTTGAGAACACATGTTACAGAGAAGGCATATCCTGAATTTCGGCATAATTCATTTGGAAAGACAATAAGATGGAAGTTTTTGGAATCACTAGAGCCACCAAGAGTAGTTCATGCCAGATGTACAGATGTTATTAGCAAAGAGAATATATTTGGACAGGTTTGCAGTTTGTTAAGAAGCTTTCTAATATCCATATTAAAATAATACATTCAATAGAGAAGTTTTGAGTTTAAACTGATATTTCATTAGAAAATTTCTGTTACAGATCACTGTTCGCTTCCACACTCGTCAGCAGTTGTCCGTGTATGACCGTTTTGGAAGACTATTGCATGGTAGTGAGATTCTTGCTAAGGATGTCTTGGAATATGTTGTATTTGAGAAGCATTTATCCAATGTTTATGGTAATTGGAGAGTGCATGGGAAAATAATACCGGATTGGGCACCACCTAAAGACCCATCCAAACTAACAAGATTAATGCCAGAAGAAAAGACTGTGGTGCCAGAAAAAACTGACAGTGAAGAAACCCCAGTTGTACCTGATAAGTAATTAATAAAATATACAATATTCAATTTTTTATTTTTATATGTATGTTGATATATACATTGTAGATAGTGACTTAAACAAGCTAAAGCTTTGAAGTATTTGTTGTTCTTTGAAGACAAATTATCTAAATAAAAGAAACATTTCACTAATTCATTGACAATTTATTAGATATGCTAATAATGGGTATAATAATATTAAAAACCAACAACATTTGCAACACTTTTATTGTATCAAAACTTTTAAATCTCTACAAACTATAGTTATTTTGTATGATAATTTAGATGCCAGTTGACTTAAAAGTGCAATAATTGTACATCAAAACATTCTACAAATATAAATTAAATTTTATATTTCTTATTTACAAATTTTAACTAATAGGATTATATTTTGTACATTAATAATACATTTCGATATATGAAATACATCTAATAAAAATGGCATTTTAACAGATTGTTTCAAAATTAGTAGATCATTTTCAACTCTAAAAAGTAACAATTATAATACTTTGATTTGTATTCATTTTAGAAAGCAATATTTAACCAGCCACATTATGTTGTATTGCCAAGTAAAGCATGTTTTTTTTATTTAAAGCACTTAACTATTATTTCACTGGTATACATTTGGAATGATCAGATTTCAAAAGAGATTGCAAAGTCTATGAACAGATTTTTATTATTAAAATAAAAATGCCTATCAATCTTTTAAGATTACACTTAACAATAACGTCACAAAAAATAATGTATAAAACAGTATTCAAAATAATTTGATCTCGTCAGATCCAATGATTGGAACAGTGCGTTTCAGGCATGTTCCTTTCATTACAGCTAGTTGGCGTTGTTCCCAGTTATCACTATATGTCCATACAGCTATTGGCGTTTGAAACCCCTTCATATATCGTTAGATAATATTGCATTTAACTCCGTCATCATGCACTTATATGGCATTTCCGACGAATCGTAAGATTGTACACGATTATCCGAGTATATTGTTTCGGCGTTCAGACGACAGTGGGCGCTGTGCGTTGCGTGGGTTTAGGCGGAAGCGGCGGCGGTGTCCGCGGCTGCAGACGCTGCCTCTGGGTTTCACGGAGATTCTCTAAGAAATCTGTAAAAGGGGAAATTTTAATTTAATAATAGCATACAACATTCTAATAGTTCAATTATTTTATTATAGGTTCGGAAAATAAGTTGAAAACATTAGCAGAAGTCGTTTATTCATAGGGGTTCTAGTTAAATAACATTGTTACTTCTTTTTGCGTAATAAATTAGTGAATACTTACGCGGTGGGTGATGATGTAAGGGTGGGCCGGGCCGTAAAGTAGCTCTAACTCTATTAGCGAGTACGGGGCCTTGAGACAAAGAGGTCTGGGGATTGGGTCCATCTGTGTTCACCCCATTACGTGACGCCTCGCTAAAGCCTCCTGAACTGCCAGAGGTGCGGTCTATACTCTATAAAAAATATTGCATTGTTATTGAAAATATAATTATACATACCGCCGAACAGGACAGGCAGACTTCTAAAGTAGCTTAATTCGTTCGTTATTTTGTTTCTAGTTTTAATGAAATATAGTAAAATATAGTATATCTTTATCGACTGTATTTATCAAAATAATTTTTTACGACAACGCGTGTCCAATGTATATATAAAAAAATAATGTAAATGGTGGTTGTATTTATTAATCTTGTAAATTAGAATCTGGGGTGAGAATGTAAAACGAAAGATGCAAGACAAAGCGTTACGTTTGATTGTGATTGGTTAAATGGACGTAATAACCTGACGTATGTTGGGTGTCAATACATATTCTAGATGTTGTTAACCAATCACAGTACTATCTGTATTGGTATGTTATCTAAAGCTGGCGGCTTGAACACATTTACACTTTGTGCTTGTGTAGTGTCTGTGAATAAGCGCGACTGTCAATGTCAAACTGAATATGCATCATGAAAACTGTCCGTCTTTCTCGCGCTCGGTCAAGCTTATGAGTATAAAAGAGACAGTTATTGTTTTGCTTTTGCTACTGTTTATGGTGATCTTTACTGTACATGTTGATATTTTTTCTCATTATTATTTTGTCTGTGATTGTTTACTTATTTGGTTGGAGGTTAGAATACTTAAAAAAAAATGTCTTATGAAATATATTCCGTCTAAACATTACCAGGACAATCTCGTGAAATGGTGCACAATGTTTTTAATTATTTTAAGCATCTTAATAAAAACAGTTTAATGAAAAAAAATTATTTTTAATTTGACATCAGATGAGACTGGTGTTTCTAAGAGAAATATTGAAAGAATTGTTAGTGAAGTAAAAGTGAAGTGTGTTGAGCAAGATGGAGGTTATGTCGAAAAATGAAAAATTATTTACACAAAATACTCTTTTACGTTCTTGGTCGGGCTTAGAACTTTTGGATCCACCCTCGTATGCACATAATATTTATATGTATTTGACACATTTTTATTTATTTACAACCCACCCAACCTTCCTAAAACCAGAGTAGACTAAAATATATGGCTTGGCAAAAAAGTCATATTTTTAAACATACTAGTATAGTAAAATTGCATTAGTGTGAGTACTGTGAACGCGCCAGCTTTCGATAACCGACCTATATCAACACATACAATCTGCGCCTACGATCAATACGATGACGTCATACCCTAAAACGCGTTACAGATAGTGCAATCCAAGAAGACGCGCCCTACTATTTCTCCTAACCGTTTATTGTATATGTGTGCAAGCTTCCGTCCATGTTTGTGTGTTATCGTTACACACGCACACTACAATGAATAGCTGACGGTTCGCAACTGACGCTCGGAGCAAATTCCCCGCAGCCCGCGATCCCTTCAACCAAAAATTGGTGGGGCGCGTCTTCGTATTGATCTATAACAAAGTTCCGACAGCTAAAGCAAGTTTTCGACCGTAGTCTAACTACACGGGCCTTCGGGCCGGTCAGTGATTAGACTGGTCCAGGATACTATAGGTTGGGGGAAAAGTACACCATATTCTCATTTACTTTCGTTTTTTCATTCATTCATTCTTTCGTTTACTTTCGTTTTACATTCCTACTTTCGTATAATATGCAATATCTCACCAGCGTGTCTTCATCGTGAGGCCGTAAAGTGACGTCAGGTATGGAGTCACCGTCATCTTCCCTTTCCCCTCTCTGGTTAATTATCACAGCGCGCCATTCACCTTCACCGAATTCTACTATTTGCAGCCGAGCGCCGTCTAATTCCTAAAAATAAATAAATTATATTATTTTTGTTTTAGTTAATAAAATATCAATTGTCTAAGTGTGTCATCTAAGGTCTAACATGTTAAAGACTTTAATATAGAGAGACGTTTGTCAGCTCTGAAAACTCGAATTAGTTTTGAAGATCTAGAATTATTACTAATGCTTACGCTTCTTTAAAAAAAAAACTTTAATTAAATGTTGGGGGATCTATTGGTAGTGTGTGTGACATATGATATGGGTTCGAATTTCAAAAAATCATTTCACACACAGTCATACCTTACTTATACAGTATTAATATATCGTACCTGTAATGAAGTATCAGGATGCAACACCTGCGCATCTGTGGGTACATTCCTCACATTTCCATCTGGAGGGTATCTTTGCAATAACGGCCTTAGTACATGACGTAATCTCCTTGCGGGGCGACATCTAACGAGCACGGCGCGGGGTCCGATTCGTACGCGCACGACACAACGTCTCTCTACGACCGCACACTTGCCCGAGAGTATTGTCGATGGTGATTCGGCGTCTATCACGCGGGATTCGCCCTGTAATAATTAATATAGTATTACACATACACACACATAAACAATAATAATGCCCTTTGATATATTATTGTTTATGTGGAACTAGATCATCAAAGTCACGTTATTTAGCATTTATCTGTATATACAAACTTAATTTGTTAACAAGTAGGTATTTACAGAAGTAAATTTACAAAATGATATTTAAAAAATTTAAGTTATTTTTAAATTTAAAATACAGAAGAGACAGTTCATGTCTAAAATGTTAACTAAAAATATTAGTATGATTATGATTAGATGTTTTTTAGTTAAAATAGCTTCTTTATTAAATAAACACCTTGTTTTTCTTACCTGATCATCAAGCAGGACGTCGTAAGTAGTACAGAGTAGGTTTCTTCTTTGCAGTAGACGGTCTACTAATCTTCTCACCGTCACGCCCTCGTCTACACCAACCACAGATGTCGCTCCATCCGGTAACACCACACGGCAAAGTGAACAACCACCAGATAACGTTTGACTGGCCGCAACCACCTGCAAAGAATATTTTTTCTTCATTTTCATACGTATAATCTTGTTATAATACTGATAAATCATTTAACAGTTAGTTTCAACACTTTTAACACACAATTGCCGAGAATTACAACCAAAAAGCTACACCGATAGTAGACCGAACAATTTACAACGTATAAAATAGCGTTTATTTAAATTTCTTGAATCTCTTGATTATTCAAATCCCACGTAAGATTGTCAATTTTGTAGTTGATCTCTGTTTCTAAAGTGCAAAAAAATTAAGATACTTCAGTCAACATCTTCACGCAAAAAATAAGCAAACTTAACATATGTATAATTTTTTTTCATTTAAATTCTAAAAAAAACAGAAAATAACAACATAGATGTTTTAGAATCTTAGTTAGTGAAAACATATCACGAGCCTTTGGTCTACAAAAAAAACCTTTTATGAAAAACAAAACCTATAATTATTTAATTAATAATATATACGACACAAAAAAAGGATTTATTTTACATTAGCTGGTTTAAATTGTCTTGCGTAGGACTAGGCCGAAGCTTCCCATGAGTTTCTTTTGTGACTGTTCCTTGACTACACACATCCTTTATACCATCCCTTTTTGGTCAATAAAGTGGCTAACGTTTTGTTGTTAATTAGTATATCTATTTATAGAATATCTATTAATATCAAAGTCATCATCAAGATAACACAGCATATATAAAAACTCTTGTCTCAAAATTTATGGTATGTAGGCGTGTCTAATGATAATTGCAAATAATCATATCGTCAAGATAAATAGTAAAATATGGTACAAGTTGTTTGCCATTGTGATATTCCACGCTAGCATAGCTGCTTGAAGCGTGGGCAAATGAATATCAGTAGGGCTGCCGAAATCCAAACATAATTTATCTTTGATTTATTATCACAATTGTACAATAATCACAGTTTTAAACTATTATATATATAGACATATTCGTACTCAACTTTTGTTCTATACATTTATTTTTATTGTAATTATTTTGGAATGATTAGAAAACATTGACTTTTTTAGCATATTTTTGGAACAAAACAATAACTTACCTTTGTTGTTCAGTTGTATTGTATTTATTATATACAACTGAACAACATAGGCGGTTTTCATTTTCATTCATTTGATTATTTAATCTATATATTCATTTGGTTGTTTGTTCACTAATAGGGGTCATAATCCATTTTACAATGGGCTTACAGGTGGAATTTTTATAGTGCCCCAAAATGAGATTTGATTAGATAAATTTTATATTCATTATTGATACATTTCCTTTGTAGTTAACAACACCTATATGAATATAAATGTTAATTCTAATCGGAAATGGCCTCGTTATGTTTTGGAAAATGGGATTAGGACCTATTAATACTTTTCTAAGATCTACAAACTATCTCAATATATAAACAATATATCAGTTACAAATAGAAAATCAAAATATTATTATAAAGATTTTGTAACAAAACCGTGCTTAACGTTTTCTGAACTTTTCCAGTACACTGAAGGTCACACTCGTACGCTATAATAACGTAAGACAACACCTTTAGTTACTTTGTCAAGAAAAAAATATATTTTGCGCCTTCAATTATTTACTAACAAATATAACATTATCATACCACGCGCCGGTAATTATTTCACAATTGTGAAATTCTAAGAAATAGTTCAATATTAGTTTAACTTATTTGTTTAGTTCGGTATTGTTTATATTCCTGTGTACTCATACAAGTGTTGCGTGAATTGATATTTATTGTTAACATTGATGTACGACTGTATAAATTTGTTTAGAGGATTTTGACAGTTGACATACATCCGACGTTATAAAAATGCGATATCTTGAAAATGATAAACAACCTTCTTTCTTTCAACGTTTCGTTTATTTACTTTTCCGCAAGAAAAAAGCTCTCTCGGTTCAATTTAGCAATTATTAATACTAATCTAATGCAATGGGTAAAATATACAAAGTACCCATAGCCTCGTCGTTAATATAGTTTTGGGTACCACTTAAAAAAATAGAATGATAATTAACTTATGTGCCAGGACCAAAAACCAATTTTTGAAGTTATACTTCTTTAGGCGCGTTATGAAAAATTTATGAGAGTGAAATTTTACGATGCGCGCGCACCGTGACAAAAAATTATCAGTATGGGCGCCGAGCGTGCGCAAGCGAGATGGGAATAAGACAATCTACAAGTAAAAAGAAATAGAATATGCGTGACGTTAGTAGCTATGCCAAGAATTTTGAATGACCATAATGACATTTGTAGTACCTTTTAAACAAATAAAGGAGTTTTAATTATTTTTTCAAAGAAATTTAGCAATGCATTTTCACAAAGACCTATTGTTACTTAGTTAAAAGGTTATGAAACCTACCTAGTTATTAAATTGAATTAATAATATAATAAAATAATTAATAATTGAATAATATACTAAATATTAAATATTGTTAAATTATTAACGCTAAATATTTATTATTAATTATTTAATATTTAAAAAAGATAAAGAAAGCCAAAGAAGTATAACTTCTTACGCGTGTACAGAAGTACACGCACCATTTTTTTAAATTAAAGAACAACTATGCTTTTTTTAGAAATTCTGTTTCTCTTGGTTTTTTTTGAGGTCAAAATCTGTTTTGTTCAGGGATCAAATATATTTGTTAAGACCTGTTTTTGGGGGTGTTTTTCAGGGGTCAATTTCTGTTTTGTTCAGGAACTAAATATATTTGTTAAGACCTGTTTTTGGGGGTGCTTTTCAGGGGTCAATTTCTGTTTTGTTCAGGAACTAAATATATTTGTTAAGACCTGTTTTTGGGGGTGTTTTTCAGGGGTCAATTTTTGTTTTGTTCAGGAACTTAATATATTTGTTAAGACCTGTTTTTCAGGGGTCAATTTCTGTTTTGTTCAGGAACTAAATATATGTGTTAAAACCTGTTTTTGGGGGTGTTTTTAAGGAATAAATTTCTGTTTTGTTCAGGAATCAAATATATTTGTTCAGACCTGTTTTTAGTGGTGTTTTTCAGGGATCAATTTCTGTTTTGTTCAGGAATCAAATATATTGAAAAAGGGTAAAAATCCGAACGAATATCTATTATTACTAAATTGTATACTAAATACTCACATCTGTGGTGGGTGGTGTATCTTCTTCAACGCGATCTCTTGACACAGAGCGCAGCCTCCAGCCCAATAGGGAACCGCCTCCGCTGCGACGTCTTTCTGATGCGTTAGACGACGACTTTTTCACCTGAACAATATATTAATAAGAAATTTTGGTTTTTCACATACAAAAATGTATATAACCAACGACTCTTTGGTCTCGCCTAACGAAAATGATTTTCCAATTATAAATTTGGTCAATGGAAGTTTATAATTTAAGGTACATACATAATATACGTCCGCACCGTACTTGGCACTACGTATTTGGGAGATAAATATAAACAATATATTGCTAAAATTGTCTATTACTTTTAATACTAAATTACTAATTGGAACGATAAGCATACATAGCAAGTATCGACTGGGCCAGTCTTAAAATTGATTATTTAAGAAAATGTAAATATAAGATATATACACAAATAAATTACTTTATTAGTCTCAGCCGGCGGTAGATAAGGACAGGGCAGGCCACGTAGATCTGCGCGTGCGCATTCAGCATGCACTCCTGAACGTAGGAACCGTGGGTAGCTGTCGAACTTCATAACGTTGAATATTTGTTTCTGAGCCTGTAGCAATAAAATAATTTTACATAAAAAATTAAGTAAATAAAACGATATGTATCTAATATATTTTTTAACTATTTTATTAAGTAATATTTAATATAAAGTAGCCATCTGTGTTATAAAGACTTCAAAGTCTATAAAAAAATCAGATAATGTAAGATTAAATCTAGATTAATCGGTAAAAAAATGGCTGACAAATACGCTTTGTAGTATTGTCTTTGATTAACATAACTTTTATTAAATACGCTTTGTATAGAATTACAACTCTTCAATAATATCGATATTTATTATTGACATCGGTCATATGCTATCTTCATCTTAGACGTGCTGGTTTTCTTCACCGTACAAAGATGTCGAGTAGCCAATTAATTATGTAAGTCGATTAAATACCTGAATAAACAAATCAGCCGGAGGTGGCCTCTGATCCAGGCGTAATGCCGTAGCCCGTTTTGCAGTAGCATCTATATTCACTGGTTCTGAGGCTTTGTCACCCAAATGCCTTTGATAGATTTCATTCGCGAGCGACGCGCGAACTTCAACGCTTTCTGACTCATTTTCCGAACATGTTCGATACTGTTCGCAGGACCACCAGAATCTGTTAAAAATGTAATTATTGATATATGTATTCAGAATTAGATACCATATAAACATATTCGGCTTTTTTGGACGATTAATCGGTAGAAATTTGCACATTACCCTATGTGATCCTAATTTATACTTATAAACTTTCATCTCTGTGTTTTCGCTGTGATAAAAAGAGACAGACGATACTTTTAGTAAACCGGTGCAATTGGAATATTTTAGGAATTAGGATCGTAATTACAGAACCAAATATATACCATATTTGGTTCTGTAACTGGGCTATGTATTATATATTATTAAAACCCTTCTTCCGCTGTTTTAAAACTGTTTAGAGCGATACAATAATAATAATGTATTTGCCTCTTCACAATATTGCATTTAGCGGGTTTACATACTGCCGCTCGCTCACTGAGAGAGGTTACGAATGTTAGGAGTACCAATATGTGCCAAGCACATGTAATTTCTTGAATAAATCAGCATATATATTGAATAAACAAGTATCTCTTCAAAATCAGTACATATTTAAGATTCAAAATAAATGTAGTAATAGGAATAGTCGAAACGAAGGTCTCTTTAAGTGTTACAGGGTTAGTTGGGTTAGTTAAAACTTCTCCAAATATTAGCAAGTGGCCGTACATAATTGTTATCTATTTTTAGATGAACTCTTATCGTGTAACACAAATATAACATTTGTATGCGTATTCTCTATTATACATATTTGCTATCTTATTGAGCAATTCAAAGGACAATTTCGTCACCCAAAATAAACTGTATATGAATACTAATCCAAAAGTGCTTCAGCGCTTAATGGGCTAAATACTATATGTTGCTAATCTCGATTTTTTTTAATAATATAATCGTAATACTTAATTATACATTCCCAAAAACAACTTAAGTAACGATTTATATTATTTTTCTATTTAAATCCGAATGAAATTAGAACAACAATTGCTTACATAGAATTGAAAACATCTTCTGCGATCCAAAAATTATTATTACGCCGTCAGGGTTGCCAACAAACACCTCACCTAATATTTTCGGCGGCAAACTCCTTGTCCAAAAAGTGGGCAAAGGCAGCCGCGCCGGCCGAGTCCGCAAGCAGGTGTTCGAGGCCGAGTGACCAGCGAGCCACTCCGCCGCCGCTTTTACCGCCACCAGGGCTGCTACCTTCGCTCATTTGCTGTAAGAAATAATGAAAAAACTAAAAAAATTGCATAGACTGTTATGTTGAGCAATTATAGTATATTTTGGAATATAATATAATAAGGGAAAGATTGGAAAGTAGTAGGGAAGATGAGAGACAAATGGAAGAATTTGAAGGCTTTCACTCTCGGAGGTCGTGTACAAATATTAAATATACAAACTTAATGTAATCCTATATATAGTACACAGTATATAAAGGGCCATTTTTAATTTTTATAAGTGAAGCTCTCGTGTCACCAATCGGCATATATTTCACAAATAAAGTAGGAGAGGAGAATGGTCACTCCAGTGACCACCACTATTACTTATATAATACTAAGCATAGCTTATTACTTATATATATTAAAAATCTTGACAAGCTCAACGAGTCTATCAAGGTTAATAATTTAGTCATGATATAACATTTGAAAGGCATTTAAAATTATCAAAAAATAATTATAAATACACTAAAAAGAACTTACTTTATTATAAATATTGCGATGCTCGTGATGCCTATAGGAACTGCCCGCTCCACTGCCCGTTGTCCACCGACGAAATGGTGACGACTGCTCACTCTGAAACAAGGATACGCAGATGTTACTTACTATACTTAGTCAAAGCAGGATTTGTTGATGTCTTTTCCTTACATGGTCCAAAATCACGTCCCAATTATCTAATATATAAAATTCTCGTGTTACAATGTTCGTTCCCATACTCCTCCGAAACGGTTTGACCGATTCTTATGATTTTTTTATGCATATTCAGTAAGCTGAGAAGCGGCTACTATCTATCTTTCAAACCCTTAAGTGATAAGGCTGGTCAACCCTTTACAACCTTTTATTTTTACGGTAAAGATGTGAGAGAGAAGACCCTAAATTTGGGGGGGGAGGGGGGTGGGAGGGGGTAGTAATCACCCCCCACAAATTTTGGGCTTAGGAAACCAAAAAAAAAAAAAATTTTTTTTTTTTTTTACAGTACTTAATCTGAAAATGATCGCAAGAAATCAGTGTCTAGTATATATGTAAAGCCAAGTTTTAAAAAATGATAATAAAATAACGCACATTCACGTAAAAAGTAACACAGGTTATTTTAAAAAAATATTAATATACTAACCTAAGATGTCCACTATTTTTAGACGCCATTCGCACACGAAATTTGAAAATGATCGCAAGAAATCAGTGTCTGTACTAGACATATATTACAGACAGTATATAAAGCCAAGTTTTAAAAAAATGCTAATAAAATAACGCACATTCACGCAAAAATAAAAAACCTAAAAAGTAACGGCTTTTTAACTTATAATTTGCACTTGATCACTGTGAACACACACTGTTCTGGCAAAATCCAAATTCGAAATGGCCGATTGCGTTTATACTTTAAACAATGAATAGTAGAGAATAGAGATGTGAAAAATAATCTATTCTGTGAAAGTGAAAAAATCGATTATTTTAGTATTCGATTTTAATCCGATTTTAAATCCGATTTTGTTTTCGATTTTGAGTTTCAGTTGAACAGTTATTTAAAAAAAATATTAATATACGGTTAGTATATTAATATTTATATAACCTAACCAATCTAAATAATATTTATTTTTGTGGACAGCTCCGATCTAAATAGTAATTGTTTATTCAAGCCTCGGCTTCTCGGCGTCCTGGTCGCCTTCGGCGACCAAATATTCATATACTAACTCTAACCTAACCAATCTAAATAATATTTGTTTATGTGGACAGCTCCGATCTAAATAGTAATTGTTTATTCAAGCCTCGGCTTCTCGGCGTCCTGGTCGCCTTCGGCGACCAAATATTCATATACTAACTCTAACCTAACCAATCTAAATAATATTTGTTTTTGTGGACAGCTCCGATCTAAATAGTAATTGTTTATTCAAGCCTCGGCTTCTCGGCGTCCTGGTCGCCTTCGGCGACCAAATATTCATATACTAACTCTAACCTAACCAATCTAAATAATATTTGTTTTTGTGGACAGCTCCGATCTAAATAGTAATTGTTTATTCAAGCCTCGGCTTCTCGGCGTCCTGGTCGCCTTCGGCGACCAAATATTCATATACTAACTCTAACCTAACCAATCTAAATAATATTTGTTTTTGTGGACAGCTCCGGCGCTACGGGTAATGCAATGCAGCCCCTCATGCATAACATGGACAGGCATTTTATTCCAAGCCTCCGCAACCTCGGGTTTTTGGTGCCTCTGGCGACCAGCCTCAGCCCTATATTTCATAATGCCTGTGCTTTGTTACGCCGGGTGGGAGCTGCTCTTCCTCCGCGCCTCCGATTATTTATATACACTCTAGGGGTAAGGCAGACAAGACCACGTGGATAGTGGGGTGCTCTGATTCGGTTTTGGGTACTATTTGAATAATTTAATAATTTTCGGAACCATACATTAATTAAAACATGAAGTTAATGTAATGTATGTACATTTGACAAGTAATGCTTAAATTAGGTTCAACTATAAAATTAACAAATGAGAAAATAATCGATTCGATTAGGTTCAACTTTAAAAATAACAAATGAGAAAATAATCGATCCAATTAATTTACCGAAAATGTCACATCACTTATAACCAATAGAAAACGACAATGACACATCACTTATAACCAATAGAAATCGAGAAAGTCACATCTCTTATAACCAATAGAAAAGTAGTTAGATAATGGCGGATTGTTTATAATTTCAATACAATTGACAAAAGTTAAAAAAATTTTTAAAATACTTTGACGCTTATCCTAAAGCTAAAATCCTTGGAGGTGTTCCAAATAAGGGTCCCCGAGACTCCTGCATAATCAGTATCATCAAATTCCAACACATGGGTATCAACCCCAACCCATTTTCACCCCTCTACCATAAACCCCTATTTTTTATTTGATAATTAAAAACTTATGAGTTATGACATGAACTATGAAGTTTATATACAGAAAAATTCACAGAACAACCTAAAAAAATTTCATTCCGGAAAACCGAACAGTCCCTGGGGTAGCATAGTAAAATGTTCCATGTTGGTATGTACTAAAAAGGTAGGCTAAGTAAAATCACATTAAGGAGAAATGAAGTTCGCAGGGACAGCTACCACCTAGTTTTCTTATATAACAATCGTTAGGAATAATACAAGATTTTATTCCTAACAATCGTTACAAATTTATTAAACACCATCTAAACATACACACTTAGACACTTCAGCCACAAATCGTAATCCAAATGACTATTTGAAATAAGTTATTACTACACTTCTATTAAGTAGACAATTATCGTTACTAGTCCAAAAAGTATCAATTCACTTGTAAAATACTGATCGAAATTTAAATACCTTACATAATATAAAACCACAGACTTTGCTCATGTAAAATTAAGACAAATTCTTATCATTAAATCTACTTTGATATCACTATAAAAACAGTGGAAACACACAATGTACATATTTGGTGTCCGACATTAAACTGAGGAAACAGGTGACAGTTTGTTCGGAAAAACCGCAACCAGCAAAATATGGAAATTTTACAATGAAATATGTTTAGCGTGTACCAGGACGAATAATTATGATTGTATATACAAGTACCGTAATTTGTAATTAGGGAAAACTGTATAGAAGTTACCTCACTTTCGGCATCCGTCACATACCACACAACCATATTTACACACTAAATTACAAGCAACTAAAATATTTAAACTGTCACCATAGTTTATAATATTTATTTATTAATTAGATTCCCGGCGTGAGTTCCTCTAACGCTGTCCAGAATGACACTATACCGAGTCATCGCAAAATTACAATGACAATCGCAACGGGCAAACAGCCCCGTTTCCGCTGAAGCCAGCTGTAAGACATAGGCTTTAGCGGGCGGAACCGAACGCTACTTAGTCTGATATTTATAGAGCTTAAACTTTGCTTACGCCAAGCTTAAGTGAGTTCTTGCTCAGTGTAATCTCAGAGTGCAAATTTATAGTCCTTCTGGAGTTTACGAAGTGCAGGTTAAATAAGAGCTCAGCGAAAGGGTCACGTTGCCCGTGATAAGCTACAACTGACAGAATACTCATTTAATTTCAATTTTTAAAAGGCCGGCAACGCACTCGCGAGACCTCTGGCTTTGAGAGTGTCCATGGACGGTATCACTTAACATCAGGTGAGCCACCTGCCGGTTTGCCCCTGTTCTATAATAAAAAATTGAAATTGCGTATATAACAAGATAGACTTTAACTTTGACATACTTTTGGCATGTGTATAGTAGAGAAAATTTACTTTTAGTCTTAATATATTTAAGTTTTCTACATGCTACAATATTATAGATTGATAATACAAAACTCATACTAAACGCAGTAACGTAAGCATACTATGAACAAAACGTATAAAAATATGTCTACTAATATAACAGATTATTAGTTTAAACTAGCCGGATAAACAGCGACGCCTTCTCGTAACATTGATATAATTTATTAAGGAAACAACTTCAAAGATGCGCGAATATCTGCGTATGATTGGCAATAATTGTAACAAGGCCGAGGTTAAATCAATGTAAGCAATTGAACGCCCTCAATACAACGTTTAATTAACGAATAAAATTGTTTAATGCATTTTCAAATGATTTTGAATTGGATGTAATGCACTTGACATAAATTATTAATCAATTTGTACATGGAAAATGGATTTCTTTATAGTTTTTGAAGCTTTTTTTATTTAATAAATCTACAGGACACGAGTAAACCTAAAATATATTTGTCCTTAATTAATCCTAAAGCTTACTTTTATAAGCTAAAAATCGAGTATCAAAGCGTTAAAATATAGTCTAGTGTAAAATAAAACATACGTTTATTTTAAATACGATTTAACTATTCCCCCGTATCGGAGATATACATTATTTTTTACGTATTTTATCCTATTATCATAACGTATATTAATATAAAGATTACTTACTACTATTGCTTTCTGTTTTCATTAAATTCAGACTTTCTTTGTGCTTTATCCTATAACTTATACCAAACATTCTGACGCCAACGAATGAATTGAATAATGAATTTTTCACTCCATACAGCGGTTTCAATGACCAACTCTTATAAGGACGCTATTGTACTTCGCATTAGGTGGTTGATTGATTAAATCATAATGAACTTTATTTAACAGTGTTAGAGTTGAAAGTCTCTTAAAGTTATATGTGCATAGGTGCATTCTTTCTTTTGATAAACAAATACGTTTATATTGAATAATTCCAACTAAATTCGATACATGACCTAAAAACAAAAAAGAATCTACTGTATATAACAATGACTCAACAATCTATTTTTGTTGTAAAAATGATTTGTTTATTAATGTAAGGTAAGTTTTTTCTCAAGTTATAAAGGTGTGAACGAACGCTGAGAACAACCTGTATAATCCTGTTAAATTAACAAATATTGGCAAGATTTCCTGCGTCTGCTTGGAAAATTTTGTCAACATTATGCAAATATTGGTTTTTTATTTATGTGCAAATTGCTAACGTTACCTTTTAAATTCTTATATATTAGTAGATGTATAACTTAAAAAGTTTCAAGCGCTTCAGGAGCTATCTTTAGGGCAACTTATTAAGCTGAGAAGTTGCTTACTTTGACTTATTTATCCATGACACGAAATTAGTCAAGGATTAAACCGAAACTTTTTGTTTTACCATAATTCTAACATTGAAACTTGTGCATCAAAGAAAATATCAAGACCAGAGCCGATAGATATATATTAAATAAAGTGGACTCATCAGAAGTACCCTTAAGCCCTAACTCTTGAGATACGTAAACATACTCGATAGGATATAATTTTTAACGTTTATAATACATTTCATATAAGCGCTTCCGTATACAAAGTATTTAACTACGTTAACTATTCGATTGTGCGTATAGTTAATGGTGCATTATATAGACAAGTATAAAGTACAGAGGTGAGAGATAAACATCGAATAAATGAAGTGGGCTTAGTACCTGCATGGCAACACAGACAAACTAATTAAGTTATTTATATGTGCAGTTCGGCATTTGAGAGTAAAGATAACACGATAGCGATATAAATAGAACGTTGAGTGTTTTATTTATATTGATGCGTAGGAGGCTCCTGAATGGGTGGTATAGGGGTCTTGTCTCCTGAACCACGTAACATATACAACTTATATAACAATACATATATATATGACAATAAATATTAAAGTCAAGATATTTATCATATAAAGATTAGTAAAACAATAAATATAAATTATACGTTAATAAAATGTTTCAGTAACAAATTCCTTATCAGTTTTCTATTTTTAAATTTAACTTGTAATTAAAAACAGTTTAATTAGTAAAAGTATTCGTTTAAATGTGTTTTAAATAAAGTATAATATTTAAACAAAAATTTTTAGAATAACTAACAGAGAATTTAAGAAGAAATACTCATTCTACGTCTTTCGATAACGTAAGATTAGTAAATACATAATTTCTTTTCCGATTTAACTTATTCTAGGGTACGACCTTACACCCAATGGGTCAAGGATATTAAATACATATGTATGCATTACATGTACTTACAAACCACGAGAGCCTTGCAAGAAACTTTTCAGTGAGAAGCGTCGGCATATTCTGTGCAATATTCACTTAATACAATAATGTTATTTTGATAACAGGGAACTTTAAAACACCTACAAATTGACACAGACTTCACTTTATTTCGGAGTAAGCACTGGCATAAAAAGTTAATTAGTGTTCTTTTTCTCAAAAATCCTTGAATCTAATTGTACTCTTTGACGTTCACACTTTTTCTATTCTAAATTCAAAACACCATTACGCTAGCAAAAAATCGTTAATACTAGCAATTTTTTCACGAGGAAGGGATTTTGCCGCGCGTCTACCGTGGTAATGTATCAACGACTGACGCTCTCAGCTACCTGTTGTCTTGTTATAAGCTCTTATCACTGATAATACAGGCCGTTCAGGCGTGATACGCCCACGAAGTAATTCGGTGAAAACTTACTTTTATTAAATAAGTAATTGCATATCGGCCTTGAACGGTCAATAGCTTTTGGCTAGTTTTGTAATATTATGTTTTATGGATGATAAAATAGAAATTATTGACTTAAAATTACTGTTTATTGGATAGATGAACTGATCTTTATTATAAGGTAAATCTTATTTTTTAGAGGACCTGACGGTGTCGTTTAGTTTTTGTATTTATTTATTTCCTAACGGTTTGAACCATAGTTGTGAACTAATTTACTTTTCTTAGTAACTACTGGCTAACAAACTAAATGCTAAGTATAAAAGAAAAATATGAGGAAATCGGCATGTTTTAGACCATCACACAGTGATGCCTACACATATAGACAAATAACAAAGTAATAGAAATTTGAGCTGTATGTTGCGTCAGTATATAATAAATTTGAAATTTCTAAACTAAGTCTAGACATTCTCGAAGTTGGACAGTATTAGCCCAAAGTCATTGGGAAGCATTTTAATCCAACTAATCGCAATCTTAGGCTTACGATAAGGACTATACGGCTTATAGAAAGGTTAACAATACACGAGGAAAATATTGCCTTGTACAATAAACCAGTGGCGCATTAACGTCTCCGCCTCATATTTCTCTATCTGTAGCGTGATTTTTTTTCTTAAAAGACCAGTAAGTGATCCGCCTTTCGAGTGACGTGGCTATTTTATTGTATTACATGCAACAGCCTTCCGTGTGACGTGGATTGTATAAGACATGCAATGCCGGCTTCCTTACGATGTTGAATTGTGTACATATAAAGAAAAGTCAGTGCAAAGCCTTGATTTGAAGGCACGATAAAGATTGAGAGCCGGCCCCTCGAGCCACTAGGCTAACATTGATCTTAATTCCAATAAATGAGATAATAGAATAAATAGATTAAGTATTATTTCTATTTATACCGACCTAACAATTGTATATATGTTCGTAACCGGCTTTCACGTAATTTACAAAAGAAAACCATACAATAGCTTTGTTTTTGTAAAGCATCCTGAATGTGTTTTTTGCTTGTCGCTTTCATTATAGGCAAAAAGAAAAAAACAGTTATATAACAACACACAGATAATAAAATAACAGGTAAAAATAAAAGATAAAGAAAAAGAGAACAATAGGTCATAGATACAATGCAAATAGATGTACAGAAATAAATCTGTAGAAATATAGTGATAACAGGTATCTTGCGTTGGAAAAACACAACATACCAGATATTAATAGATAAACACACATAGGTAGGCAACACATGATTGCGTTATAGTGATTGTGGTTCCTTTGCTTTGAGGAGGAAAAGAGCAAGATAAAACCTTTAATTTTTGCACATATAAGCGAGATCATGTCTAGACTTGACATACGAAAGACAAAGGTGGTTTTATTTCTATTCTGGAGCGTATCGTAAAATGTATGAAATTATCATATCTCAAAAGGCAAATTTCTATATCAGACTAAATGATTTTTCGGCTTAAAACATGTCGACTCCTCACAATGTGTTTAATTACGAGAGTACTAACTGTTTAGAAAAATCAAACTTCCCTCTACCCACTACTTGATGTTGGAAGGCGCGTTCACAGAGATGAATTTACACATATGGAATATTAAACAAGGTCACTAGGTCGCCACTAGCTTTATAACTTCTATTTCGTACCTACCCTCAAATAC